CACAATCTATATGAGTAACATTTGGAACTGTCAGTGTTTTGAATTTCAGTAATTCTACTAAGTATATATTGATATCACATTTTTGTTTCACTGTTTCGTAATGACTTACGATCATGAGAATTTTTCATATTTTGCCAACCATACATATATAAATTTTGTGGAATTTATTCAAGCCTTTTGCCAATTTTTAAATTGGATTATTTTCCTAATGTTTTTCTGGTCCTGGAGCTTGAACTCAGGGTCTGGGCACTGTCCTTAAGCTTTTGTGTTCCAGGCTAGTGCTCTACCATTTGAGCCACAGCTCCACTTCTTGCTTTTTGTGGTTAATTGGAGATAAAATTCTCTCAGATTTTTTCTGCCCAGGCTGGCTTCAAACCACAATCCTCAGATCTCAGCTTCCTGAGTAGCTAGTATTACAGACATGAGCCATCAACAACTGGCCCTTATTGTTGAGTTTTAAAAGTCATTTGTATATTAGTCTTTATCAGATAACATTTTGCAAATATTTTTCTTGCTGTTACTTTTCCATTACTATAACAAATAAAGATAAAATAATTTATAAGAATGAAAGTTTTGGGGCTGGGAAGGTGGCTCAGTGGTAGAGCGCTTGCCTTGCATGCTCGAGGCCCTGGGTTCGATTCCTCAGCACCACATAAGCAAAAAGAAAAAAGCCGGAAGTGGCGCTGTGGCTCAAGTGGTAGAGTGCTAGCCTTGAGCTGAAGAGCTGAGGGACAGCGCCCAGGCCCAGAGTTCAGGCCCCACGACTGGACCCAAAAAAAAAAAAATGAATGAAAGTTTTGCCAGGTGCTAGTGGTTCACACAATAATTCTAGCTACTCAGGAGGCTGAGATTGAGATCCCATTTCTGTCCCACCCCACATCAGGGGAGAGCACAAATGCAATCCCTGGAGATCCCATTTCAAAGTCAGCCCTATTCTGTTATCTATATCTATCTATCTATCTATCTATCTATCTATCTATCTATCTATCTATCTATCTATCTATCTATCTATCTATCGAGGGAGGAAGATGTTCATTTGTTTCTAACAGGGTTTGAGAGTTAAGTAGTATTATTGCTGCCATTTTATAGATGAAGCTGATGTACAGAGAGACTAAATGTCTGGTAGTCACAGATCTAGTGCATCTTTCTTTGCATCAATGCACTGATATATAGCTTGTCTACTCCCCTTCTACTGCAGGATCCATTGATAGTTTTCTCTTGTTTGCTTGTTTGCTTCTGTTTTAAAACCTTTCTGGGCTGGTGAAGAGGCTTAAGTGGCAGAGTGCCTGCCTAGCAAATGCAGGGCCCTGAGCTCTACTCCCTAAATACTGCAAAAACAGATAATGACCACCTTTCTGAAAGCTGGGGATGCCAGGGCCTTATGCTTGTAATCCTAGCTGCTCAGAAGATAGGGATTGGGAAAAATCAGTTCAATGCCAGCTCAGGCATAAATTCATTTCAATCAATAGTTGGACATAGTGGTAAATGCCTATCATCCCAGCTACGTGGGAAGTATAATTAGGCAGATTGAGATCCAGGTCCACCAGAGCATACATGCAAGACCCTATTTGGAAGATAATGAAGCCTGGTGCTGGTGGCTCATGCCTATCATCCCAGCTACTCAGGAGGCTGAGGATCTGTGATCTGAGGATCACAATTCAAAGCCAGCTGCAGGAAAGTCGTGTGAGACTGTTATGTTACTTCCAATTATCCAACAGAAAACCAGAAGTGGCACTGTGGCTCAAAGTGGTAGAGCACTAGCCTTAAGCAAAAGAGCTCAGGGACAGCACCCAGGCCCTGAGTCAAGCTCAATGACATATATACATATGTATATATGTAGTTAAGTACTTATATATAAGTACTTATATATATATATATATATATATGTAGTTAAGTACATATATATATATATGTAGTTAAAGGAGTTACTATTCAACAAAGCAGTTTATGAATACAGTGCATCTTGATCAATGATCACCTATTTAATTATTCTCCCCCATTCCTCCCAACCTTACCCCTTCCCTCAATTTTCTTAATTTTGTAGAATATGTGTTGAATCTTATGACTACATTCTCCCCATTAAGTTATGTTTTGCGTACTTCTTTTTATTTTTTTTTTTGTCAGTCATGGGGCTTGAACTAAGGGCCTGGGTTCTGTCCCTGAGTTCTTCAGCTCAAGGCTTACACTCTACCACTTGAGCCACAATGCCACTTCTGGTTTTTTTTCTGTTTATGTGGTGCTGAGGAATCAAACCCAGGGCCTCATGCATGCAAGGCAAGCATTCTAACACTGAGCCACCTTCCCAGCCCCTGTTTTGAGTACTTTTTTTTTTTTTTTGGTCAATTGGGCACTGTCTCTAAGCTCTTCAGCTAAAGGCAAGTGCTCTACTACTTGGGCCAGAGCACCACTTCCGGTTTCCTGGTGATTTATTGGAGGTAAAAGTCTCATGGACATTCCTGCCCAAGCTGGCTTTGAACCGTGATCCTCAGATCTCAGCCTCCTGAGTAGCTTGGATTACAGGCGTGAGCCACTGGCACCTGGCTTGGGGAGACTTTTACACATTCTTCAAGGCAATTTGAGAACCCCAAGGCCTTTATAAAACAATGATTCAATTGCTGTGATAAACTCTTACAAGCTTTGGAAACAGGCCATTCACAGGGGTGATGGGAGGAACACAGGCCTACTCTCACTGACTCTGCTGCTTCCAAGCAGAAATCATAACATATCTACTGGTGATCTCTTTTCAGAACTGGTGGAGTCTCTTTCATTGCAGGGATCTTATGCTGGAAAAATCCATTCTATTGGTGATGCCTTCAGAAACTTTAAAAATCTCCGATCCTTAGATTTATCAAGAAATTTGATCACCAGCCTAAAGGTACATTCTATATTCTATGACCAGCCCCATTAGTCTAATTTAGGTTGTGTGTGTGTGTGTGTGTGTGTGTGTGTGTGTGCGCCCATGTGAATGTGTGTGTATGTTGATTCTGGGGCTTGAACTCAGGACCTGGGTGCTGTCCTTGAGCTTTTTGTTCAAGCTAATAATCTAACACTTAAACCAGAAGCTCTACTTCTGGCTTTCTGGTGATTAATTGGAGCTAAGAGTCACATGGACTTTTCCTGCCCAGGCTGGCTTCAAACTATGATCCTCAGATCTCATTCTCCTGAATAGATGTGATTGGAGGCATTAGCCACTGGTGCCCACCCTGTAATACGTTTTTATACCTTTTTTCTTTCCACTTCTATAAATTGGATTAAAAAAACTGTGAAGATTAATCAAATTAGCATGTGTAATTAAATAAACAGATATAACACTCCTGGTACAGTGTTTGGCTTGTAAGTAGGATTTGATAAATGTTAGCTTTCTATGTTTTGTTTTATTTTATTTTGTTTTGTTTTGTTTGTCATTTGTGGGGTTTGAACTCTGGGCCTGGGTGCTGTTTCTCAGCTCTTCAGCTCAAGGGGAGCATTCTACCATTTGAGCCACAGCACCACTCCAGTTCTCTGGTGGTTGACTGGAGATAAGGGTCTCACGGCTTTTCCTGCCCAGTCTGGCTTTGAATCATGATCCTCAGATCTCAGCCTGCTGAGTAGCTAGGATTACAGGCGTGAGCCACCAACACCCAGTTTTGTTTTTAATCAGTAACTTATCTGCATTCATCTGAATCAGTTTGCTCAGTTTTCTTAAGGAGAAAATGTTTTGTGATTATTCCTAGCATAATGTTGGAAAACACATGAATTCATGATAGATATTTAACAATTACTTGTTGGTTATAGGCATATAATCCTAGTTTATAATCCTATAATTTTAGCTAATCAGTAGGCTGAGATCTGCAGAGCAAGGTTCAAAGCCAGTCCAAGCAGACAGCCCCCCCCAGACTATTATCTCCAATTAATAAGAAGCTAAAAAAGGAAGTGTGGCTCAAATGGCAAAGTACCACCAGCTATGAGTGAAAAATGTCCCAGTACTGGAACACACACACACACACACACACACACTTCATCTTTTACTATTTTCTTCTCCTTCAGAAGAAGCTCTTTCTCCTGTAAACTGAGGTTTTTATGAAGTTAGGAGAGTAGGCAGGGGCAAAGATGAAAGTCAAAATGGTTCAGCCTGGCTACTACTGGGAAAGCTGGGGAACCACAGATGGAGAAAATTGATTCCAGGTATTTATTTGTCAGATTATTTATTTATGTACTTATTGTTTTGTCAGTCATGGAGGCTGGACTCTGGGCCTGGGTGCTGTCCCTCAGTTCTTCAGTTCAAGGCTAGCGCCCTACCACTTGAGCCACAGCACCACTTCCTGCTTTTTTCTGTTTATGTGGTACTGAGGAATGGAACCCAGGGCTTTATGCAAGCAAGGCAAGCACTCTACCACTTCCCAGCCCCTTGTCAGATTTTTCAAAGGGGACATATTTACACCTGTAAATTCAGGTTTTTTTTCCTTTTGTTTTGGTTTTGTGCCAGTCCTGGGGCTTGAATTCAGGTTCTAGTGCTGTCCCTGAGCTTTTTTCTTTTTTTCTTCTTTTTTTTTGCTCAAGGCTAGCACTCTGCCACTTGAGCCGTAGCTCCACTTGTGGCTTGGTTAATTGGAGATAAGAGTCTCACAGACTTTCCTGCCCTGGCTGGCTTTGTACTGGGATCCTCAAACCTCGGTAGCTAGGATTATAGGTGTGAGCCACCAGTGCCCAGCACCTGTAAATTCTTTAATGTTTAGAAGGCTGAGTACTCCGGCTGGGAAGATGGCTCAGTGGTAGAGCGCATGCCTTGCATGCCTGAGGCCCTGGGTTCGATTCCTCAGCACCACATAAGCAAAAAGAAAAAAGCCGGAAGTGGTGCTGTGGCTCAAGTGGTAGAGCGCTAGCCTTGAGCTGAAGAGCTGAGGGACAGCGCCCAGGCCCAGAGTTCAGGCCCCACAACTGGACCAAAAAAAAAGAAGGCTGAGTACTCATGGGCAGCAATGTTCTTCTCCTTCTCAGGCAACTGAATGGAAGGTGCACGAAGACTTTTTTTGGCCTGTCTTGGGGCCTAAACTCGGGCCTGGGCGCTGTCCCTGAGCTCCTCAGCTCAAGGCTAGTGCTCTACCACGTGAACCACAGTGCCACTTCCAGCTTTTTCTGCTTATGTGGTGCTGAGGAATTGAACCCAGGACCTCATGCATGCAAGGCAAGCGCTCTACCACTGAGCCACCTTCCCAGCCCAGCACCCAGACTTTCTCATAGATGACTGACAGGTCTACAGCTATAAAGTAACAGATACATTCCCATCTTTATCTTGAGATCCTTAACAGTGTGCAGTTTCCTAATGTGGTCTTTTCCTTGCAGGGCATCCAGTATTTATGTTCACTCCAAGACCTGAATTTATATTATAACAACATCCCTTCATTAGTGGAGGTGTCCCGCCTGCAGCCTTTACCCTTCCTCAAAGAACTAGATCTGAGACTCAATCCTGTTGTCAGGAAAGATACAGATTACAGGCTCTTTGCTGTGTACACACTGCAAACTCTGGAGAAACTGGGTGAGATCCTCTTCCTCCATTCCTTCCCCAGCATCTCACTTCAAATCAGCTGACCCTGAACCTTCTGGATGTGAGCCCAGACTGTGCACTGGCAGGAGACATTTGTTTATCAGTCAATATTTATGTCACTTTGTGCAGGCAGGATGTATGACGGGTACTTTTATTGTTTATTGAATGGCCATCTATGATTTTTATCAGTTATTTCCAGCTTTAGTTTTCTTCAGCTGATGGTTTCACCACCACTTCCTAACACAAAATTTCCAGGCTGAGACTCATTTTTCCAGGTGCCTTGACTTTGCAGCTGTAATTAGCAAGAGAAAACTCATGCAACTGTTCCTTGGGGCTGAGTTGACATGGAACAAGAAATATCCCTTTAAATGAGCTAGCCCTGTACTTCCTTCCAATGTAATTATTGAGTATACATTTCTTATTGATATAAAATTTGATTTCACGTGGCTCAGTGAAAGTCATTGCAGGAAACTAAGTGAATTCCCTTTGGAAAAAAAAAAGAAATCATATAACTTTCAGCATTAACAAGAGCAGGGTCTGCTATCCACGCTCCACCTCTACCTTCCTGAAAGGGTTGTTACCCTGTGTGGAGCTGTTGCTATGGCACCCTGAGTTACTGCTTGCTCCAGTGACAACATAATAGCATTATGTTGTGACCTGTTTCCAACACACAAAGATGAATCTGGTCTTTAGTTTTCCCTCTGTAAATATGGCTCTCTGACCTACTACCGTTTGCTCCCCAAAAGAAACATGCTTAAACCAAGGTTTGTGCCTTCAGATGATCGAACTGTACGTGACAGTGAGAGGAAAGCCGCCAAGCTACATTTTAGTCAATTGGGCAACAGTGAAAATTTTCTTTTAGAGGTGGAAAAAAGGTAAGACAATTATCTACAATTGTTTTTAGTCTGGCTCTAGACATAGGTCATAAGTGAATTTTTGCTTGAAGTCGATTTCTGACAGAAAGCTCCCAGGAGTTGTATGACTAGTTAGCTCTAGAGTAAAGTATTCAGCAAACTGAGATTTATTAGGACCTCACTGGGTTCATTCCTATGTTGGGTTTGCATTGGATAAATTATTATAACTCCAAAGGTGGTGTCCACAGCTTATAGATAGGGACAGTATAAATGCCCACCAACTCTCCCTTGGTAGAAATACCAAACAGTGAATGGTCTTTTTCTATTGAATAAGGAGGTTACATTATAATATATAAGACTGTTGGAGATAGAATGAAAGTACTTCTCTACAAACTTCTCGAGACTCTCACGAATCTGGATTCTCTCCCTTCCCCCCCTTTCTCTCTGTCTCTGTCTCTGTCTCTCTGTCTCGTTGATCCTGGGGCTTGAACTCAGGGCCTGAGTGCTGTCCCTGAGCAATTTTCGCTCAAAGCTACCACTCTACTGCTTTGAGCCACAGCTCCACTTCTGGTTTTTTAGTAACGAGTGAGTCTCACAGACTTCATTTTCCTGCCTAGTTTGGCTTCAAACCATGATCCACAGATCTTAGTCTCCTGTGTAGCTAGGATTACAGCCATGAACTACCAGCGCCTGATGATTTTCCATTTCTTTACAAAAATCATATCCAGTAAAAGTGTTTATCTTCTACCCTAAACCTATGCTTTCAAAAGTTAGCATTGGCCATGCGCCGGTGGCTCATGCCTGTAATCCTAGCTACTCAGGAGGCTAAGATCTGAGGATCATGGTTCAAAGCCAGCCTAGGCTGGAAAGTCCATGATGCTCTTTTGGGGGGTGGGGGTGGAGGGTCGGTTGTAGGGCTTGAACTCTGGATCTGGGCACTGTCCCTGTGCTCTTCAGCTCAAGGCGAGTGTTCTACCACTTGAGCTACACACAGCACCATTTGCAGTTTTCTGGTGGTTAATTGGAGGAGTCTCACAGACAAAGCAGTTCTTGCCCTGGCTGGCTTTGAACCACCATCCTCAGATCTCAGCCTTCTGCTTAGTATTACAGGTGTGAGCCACTCACGCCCACCCGTGAGACTCTTATCTCCAATAAACCATTAGAAAACTAGAAGTGGTGCTGTGGCTCAAGGGGTAGAGCACTAGCCTTGAGCTGAAGAGCTGAGGGTCAGTGTCCAGGCCCAGAGTTCAAGCCCCACAAGTGACAAAAATAAAAAAGAGCTTTGTTATTTTTGAGGATTAGGTACAAATCCATCACAACTTAAATAATGCAGAAAAGAATATGCAAAAGTCAAAAATATTCTACTATTAATGTTTGGTATACATCTTTCCAGACAACTGTGTACTATAAATGTACTTATTAATCTGTCCTATCAGTCTAGTTTGTTAGTGTTTTTCTGATTATTATTATTGAGAATTTGAAAAGTTCAGAGGAAAACAAACTACAAGGCTTTTTCAAATAAGAGCAATCCCACCATCTAGAAATGAACATGAATTAAGGCAAACAATCTTCAGTCTTTTTTTTGCCAGTCATGGGGGCTGAACTCTAGGCCTGGATGCTGTTCCTCAGCTCTTCAGCTCAAGGCTAGAACTCTACCACTTGAGCCACAGCTCCACTTCCAGCTTTTTCTGCTTATGTGGTGCTAAGGAATCAAATCCAGGGCTTCATGCATGGAAGGCAAGCACTCTACCACTGAACCATCTTCCCAGCCCCAATCTTCAGTCTTAAAAATGATTATTTACGGGCTGGGAAGGTGGCTCAGTGGTAGAGTGCTTGCCTTGCATGCCTGAGGCCCTGGGTTCGATTCCTCAGCACCACATAAGCAAAAAAGAAAAAACCTGGAAGCGGTGCTGTGACTCAAGTGGTAGAGTGCTAGCCTTGAGCTAAAGAACTGAAGGACAGCGCCCAGACCCAGAGTTCAGGCCCCACGACCGGACCTCCCCAAAATGATTATTTACCTTAATTAGTGTTATGTGTGTATATTTATAACATAAATACATATATATGATCTATAGCTCTGTATCTATAGCTATCTATAGAGCTAGAGATACACACATATACACATATTTATCTATACCACATTATTTTACAGTAATTTCTTTTTACCATCTTTCCTCCACACTAGAACATAAGCTTATAAGAACAAAGACTTTTTGATCTTATATATTACAGAATCTGTAGTGCTATGTCAGGGATTGGCATGCAGAAGTGCTAAGAAATCATTTGTTGAATAATAAATAATGAATGCCAGCCATGTCTGTTGGCCTGGCATCTTTTCCAGTGACTTTGCTTAACTCTGCTCTGCTCTGTAGATTAGTAGTGTCAACTTACATAGCATAGGGGCTGGGAAGGTGGCTTGCTCAGTGGTAGAGTGCTTGCTTCGCATGCATGAGGCCCTGGGTTCAATTCCCCAGCACCACATAAGCAGAAAAAAATCCGGAAGTGGCACTGTGGCTCAAGTGTAGAGCACTAGACATGAGCTGAAGAGCTGAGGGACAGTGCCCAGGCCCAGAGTTCAAGCCCCATCACCAACAAAAAAACCAAACAAGCAAAATAAAAACTTTCATGGCATAAAATTTATCCTGCTATAGACAGAAATGAAATGTTCCTAAAAAGGATTTTTAGTAACACACACACACACACACACACACACACACCAAATTTCTATTTCAAATACATTGGTGTTTTCTGTGTACCATAACAAAATAGAAAGAATCAGTGTATAACTGAATAAAATGTATAGCAAGGTATATAATTAATTCCATCATTAATCTGTTTAGGCCCAGAAAATCATTTGGTATATGACAGGATAGACTCATATGCTGCTCTTTTTTTTTTTTTAATTGTCGGTCATGGGGCTTGAACTCTGAGCCTGGGCACTGTCCCTCAGCTCTTCAGCTGAAGGCTAGCATGCTACCACTTAAGCCACAGCGCCACTTCCAGCTTTTTCTGTTTATGTGGTGCTGAAGAATGGAACCAGGGCCTCATGCATGCAAGTTAGGCACTCTACCACTGAGCCACCTTCCCAGCCCACATATGCTGTTCTTCAGCTTCCCAGGGCCCTCTGCCTGTATTCCTAATTTTGTATGGCCTGCAAATGATATTATACCTATTCAAGTAGCCCTTGATAGAAAAAAATGTTCCCCAGCCCTGAGTGATGGCTAAACCAGAGGTTAAATTCTACTCTATGCTTAGTAATAACATTCATTTTTTTTTACAAGCCCTCCAATCTTGGGGGAAGTTTTTAAAGCCTCACTGGTTCCTATAAAATGGAGTTGATAGGTAGTAGGGAGGCTTTTATGATTAAATGAGAAAGTGAGTGTAAAGCATATGGTCTAGCTTTCCTGTACTTCCAAGGTACTTAACTCAATCAAGGACAAACACTTGCCCTTGTTAGCTGTTATTATAGCTAATGGCTATAATTGTCGCCACTATAACACTAGAATCTGCCCTATCTGTATCTTAACTATAAATATTTAAGTAAAAAAAAATTACCACCTCAATCTGTCAGACTTTTCAAATTTGAGTAAGTTCTGAATTTTCTCTTTAAGTTCTGAATATTCTTTCACATTTAAGATTCAACTATAATATCTTCTCATTATTATTCTTAGTCAAAACTGATTTAAAACATTTTTGGCTTTAACTGAGATACTATAAAAATGTAATTAACATGTCTTAGAGCATTTGGGAGGAAAAAAAAAAAGGTCTGACCACCATGAACCAATTTCTAAACATCATGGACTGGTGATCTCAAAAGCTTTCTTTCAAGCTGGGCACCAGTGGCTTATGCTTGTAATCCTAGCTGAGATCTGAGGATCATGGCTCAAAGCCAGCCCAGGCAGGAAAGCCTGTGAGACTTTTATTCAATTACTAAAACCAGACATAGAACTATGGATCAAGTGGTACAGTGCTAGCCTTGAGCACAAAAAGCCCAGTGACAGCACATAGGCCCTGAGTTCAAGACCCAGGACTGGTGCACACGTAAACATATTCACACACTCACACACACACACACACATGAAAATAAAGGCTTTCTTTCAACTTTTAATTAAATCCTTCTGTTCGACAGCTCTAGGGAGAAGACGATGAAAAACTGTGTGACAGATGAGGGCTCTGCATTAAAAGTCAGTGTGGAGGTTGACACCAGGATTGAAACAGGTCAGCATTTTCTCTGTGATCACAAAATGATCAAGACATCAGTGGTCTCAGCTGTCATAGCCAATATTGGGTAGAATAACGACAAAGTAGTTGAGAAAGCACAGACTGGAAGCAAGCCCAAGATTGATTGGCTATGTTTTTCCTCCTTCCTCCTGCTGCCAGAAGAACCCTGGGTTGAGTCTTTCAAAGCACAAGCTGTACTCAGAGAATTCAATTTCATTTACATAATTTTACGTCATTCATATACCCATCCCTAAAATAAACTTTAATATTACTTTGCTCATCTCTGTCAGCCCCTGGGCACTGATCAGGTAATTGAATTCCTTAGCCAGAATCTTTTGACTCATCTGCGTCCATACAGCTTATACCCTGGGCCTCCTGAGTTCCCCAGCCAAGCACTTTTCCTGCTATAGGATCTCTTGAGCTTGATTGAACTCTATTTCCATAAGCACTATTGGTTCTTCAAAATAGTTACAGTGATGCCACTTTGATGATCCTGCCATATGCTAAGCAAGCTTTCCACCAGAAAGGTGGGGGGGGGGAGTGTGCTGGTCCTGGGGCTTGAACTCAGGGTTTGGGTACTGTCCCTGAGCTTTTGTGCTTAAAGCTAGAATTCTATCACTTGAGTCATAGATCCACCTTTATCTTTTTGGTTGTTAATTGTAGGTAAGTCTCACAGACTTTTTTGCCCTACTGGCCTAGAACTACAATCCTCAGATCTCAGCCTCCTGGGTAGCTAGAATTACAAACATAAGACACCAGAGCCTGGCCAGATTACCTTTTTCACTGGAGAAAACTTTCTTCTGTCCTAGAGTCTCTGCCCTTCTGCAAGATTGATTCAATTACACACAAACGCTTTTTTAAAAATCCAGTAGCCAGGCACCAGTGGCTCATGCCTATAATCCTAACTATTCAGGAGGCTGATCTGAGGATCACAGTTTAAAGCCAGCCCAGGCAGAAAGTCTGTGAGACTCTTATCTCCAATTAACCACCAGTAAACTGGAAGTGGTGCTGTGGCTCAAGTGGTAGAGCACTAGCCTTGAGCTGAAGAGCTGAGGGACAATACCCAAGCCCAGAGTTTAAGCCCCACAACTAACAACAACAACAACAAATCCAGTAGACTGAATAGATGAGCTTTGTAGTTTAGATATCAAGGGTTTAGCATATATTTTATTTTCATGATTTCTTATCTGCCCATATGAACATAAATTCTAAGTCATTTCTACATTATATTGTGGCAAAATAAACTTTTGCTTCCTTTGATGTCTCAGTGAACATAAGTGATGAATGGTAATATAGTTTGTTTTATTTCATTTTTAAAGGTATTTCTTACATTTCAAAAATCATGTGACTTCAGATAATAATTTGGAAAATTCAAAATGCATGAAAAACATTTTAACCATCAATAGAGATAATCCAAATTCACATTTTTCTATACAGACTTCTCTGGTATACAATCGTTGTTATTCAGCCTAGCATTTCTTCTAGGTCAAAGCATTTCTATAGCCATTCCTGGACAGAAGAAAATGCTTTGAAGCATAATTTGACAGCCTCTTTTCCTATGAGCTAATTTAGACTTCATTTATGTCATGTCATTAGCACACATATTCCCTCCAAGAGTTAAAAATGTTTCTCCAAGTGTACAATCTCTACTGAGCACCAACTGCTTTACTAGACAGATGGCCCATTTCTGAAAGTTCTTGGAAGCCCCAGCTGTTGTCTGGAATTTTATAAATATATATAAAACTAATTTCTTGCCACTTTGAGCCATTAGAGCTGAATTTTCCACTGGAAATTGTGTTTGCATTGAATCCCTGGAGAGGATAGCCAATAAGTGCTGTTGGTAATCCAATATGATTAAAGTAGTTATGTTGTATTAATGGTCATGCCACAGGCTAAGAGAAAACCTTCCTGAAGGACAGAACCCACTACTCCATGGTTCAGACAGGGCTTTCCCACCAATCATTTCAAATAGACACGGAGCAGTTACTGTCTTGGATCTTCATCCTGTTCTCTTAACCACATAGTCTTTAGCTCTCTCTCTTCTTTCTCTCAGCCTCCCCGGCCCCCAAATAAACACACCTAGGCTATATTTTCAGAGTCTCCTGTCCTCTCTCTATTCTTTGTCCTTATTGGTCTAATATATTTCAATAGTTTTCTTTATAAGTAAATAGATTTATTATTTAGATTTTTCTCATATGTAAAGAATTTTTCTCACTGGGCCAGTCTCTGCATCAATGCTGTATCTCTGTTGATCAGCTATTAACATACACTTAGAGTCACCACTTAGAAAACATGCCCACCCCAACCCAAAAAGCCCTAAGCATAATCCTCCATGCTTGCCCCATCTGAAAATAATTGGAGTTTGATGCTGTGTCTTCTCTAAGGTGCATCTGAACATTCATACCCTTCCTGTTAGTGTGTGTGTGTGTGTGTGTGTGTGTGCCAGTACTGGGGCTTGAACTCAAGACCTAGGTACTGTCTGTCCCTTTGTTATTTCTGCTCAAAGTGAGCACTCTACCACGTGAGCCGTAACTCTCCTTTTAGCTTTTATGGTGAATAATTGGAGGTAAGAGTCTCATAGACCTTTTCTCCGGGCTGGCTTTGAACATCATCTCAGATCTCAGCCTCCTGAGTAGCAAGGATTACAGGTGTGAATCACTGAGCCTGCTCTGTATTTGCTGAGTGTAAACTCTGGCCCTGGTACTTCCCATGATCTCATTTAATCCTCACAACCTTGAAGTTGTTTGACAGGTGAAGCTGAGACCCAAAGAAGTGAAATAACTTGCCCTACTTACATAGTAAGTGGAGGAGGCAGGATGCTGACTCTGGTCCATATATTATTAAAGTCTTCCTCCAACTCTCTTCTTCCTTCCATTTATTCTGTACTTCACAGCCAGATTAATTCTCTTAAAACAGCATGATCACTAATTATATTTGCCTGCTCAGAAACTTCCATGGTTCCCATTGAACTCTATATTAATTCTAAGCTTTTTGACCTGGCATGCAAGGCTCCTCTAAGCTCTGGTTGCAACTTTATTTCTTCAGCCTTGCTTGAAACCTATTTCATTTCTCCACTACAATGTACAATGGTCCAATCAAATCAGACCACTCTTTTCTCCCCACAGAGTCCTTCCTTTTGTCCTCCTTTGACTGTAAACTAATACACTACTCTGAAATACACTCATAAAAGCCTACTTTTTCTTTATGGCCTACCTCAAAGTTCTTTCATTTTAATGAAATTTTTTAAAAATTCCTCAACCAAAAAGATACTTTCTATTTTTGTAAATTCATATAACTTGCCTTCTGGAACATATACTCTGGACATAGAAAAAGCAAACATTCCCTGAAGCACTTTCAGCATCATTCTTATTTTATTTTTTTGTCGTGGAGCTTGAACTCTGAGTCTGGGTGCTGTCCCTGAGCACTTCAGCTACCACTTGAGCCACAGTGCCCACTTTCGGCTTTTTCTGTGTATGTGGTCCTGAGGAATCAAACCCAGGACCTCATGCATGCAAGGCAAGCGCTCTACCACTGAGCCACCTTCCCAGCCCTCAGCATAATTTTTAAAAACTGAGGCCAGACATTGGTGGCTCATGCTTATAATCCTAGCTACTGAGGTTTGAAGCTAGCTCTAGCAGGAAAGTCTGTGAGACCCTTATCTCCAATTAACTAGCAAAAAAACAGGAAAGGAGAGGTGGTTTAAGTTGTAGAGCATTAGCTAGCCTTGAACAAAAAACACTGAGAGACAGCAACCAGGCCCTGAGTTCCAGTCATCTTACCAGCACAAAAAGAAAAAAGAAAAAGATCGCGGTGTGGGTATTGCTGGTTTGTGTTTGCGTGTTTGTTTTGAAATGAAGTCTCATGAACCTTTCTGCCTGTTCTGGCTTTGAACTTTGATCTTCAGAATCTTAGCTTCCTGAACAGCCAGGATTTATAGGCTAGGCTTACCAACAGCACCCAGCAACTGTTCTCATTTTACAAGTGAGGAAGTCAAAGCAGAAAGAGGCTGGTCTAAATAGTGAATCATGCAGACTGCTGAGTAGAGCCTGGAGATATATAATGCTGGGAGTGGTCCCAGCTCCTT